GATTCTTTTGAATTTTAAAGTTGAAATAATTTTCATAGATGATGTTGTAACAGGCTAAAACTGCAATACTTGCTGCAATTCTGGATGTTGGTTTTCTAGCTGCGGCAATTTCAGGAACATATTTTTTACTGCAAGAGGACATGAGGATCGTTGTAACCGGTGTTATGTGTTCAGGCCTAAACGTTATCATGTATGGTTCACCTCTTGCAGCTATGGTAAGTAACTTGAGAACACATTTGGTATGCACAAATTCGACCAAACTGAGCAACAATATAAGATTTTAATTTCTTCTTTTTCCTTAGCAACAATATAAAGATTAGATTTTGATAAATTTTGACGAAATTTGTAGTTGAAAAGTTGCAGATCCAATAAAACGTGTGGTTAATATTAATCGACGACTTTAACTTAGATTTTTATCAATTTTTTAAAATTAAACCAAACACGAATGATATATGTTTATGTTAGAAAAACAAGTTATGTCGAAAGATATTCTAATATATAGTTTTTTGATAGAAGTAAACAAAAGAATCAATAATATTTCTTCTTTAATAAGTGTTGCGCTGTCAAACTTATAAAACAAGACATGAATTGCTTTGAAGGTTTCTTTTACCCTATAAAATGAATAATTATACAATAGTGGAAGTGTTTGTTAAGTTATGTCGAAAGATATTCTAATATTTGGTTAAAAACTTTTCTCCACTTAAATGGTAGAATTAATTATGATAAATATTTAAATTTTTAGATAAGCTGATTATCAAAGCAATTAAATTTTGTTACGTCAATTAAATAATGATTTGATGCATGATGTAATAAAAAAAACGACGACATTAATGCATCAAATCACTGACAACCTTAGCAAGTGTATGTCACGTTTTACGACTACGATAATGGATGACTGTAAATAACATTACTCTATAATATATTTAACTTTAATTTTTTTTTCTTCATTAATTCTTATACAAGACAATTTATCGTCGTTACAAGTTATTAGAAAAAATGAGATGTGTATATATATAATTCAACAAGTTGCATATTGAAATGTGCAGAAAAATGTGGTGACAATGAAGAGTGTGGAGTATATGCCATTTCTTCTCTCATTTTTCCTTTTTTTAAATGGAGGAATTTGGGCTTTCTATGCATGCCTTGTAAACGACTGGTTCCTTGGAGTAAGTTCTTCGCATTCCCTCACTATTAATTAATTCACAACCTCAGATTTGGGGAGAAAACCCAGCATTCAATATGTAGGACTACCACTACTTTAGAAAATTCAAAATTGTTTGCAAATATTAGGGGCGGGGGGCTCCCATCCCAGTCTCTGGGAGGGGGGTAAAAATTAAAATATTTTCATTTATTGCCCATTTAATCTTTAGATTTTTAAACTTTTGAAAAATGTGCACATATAAGATAGGTTTTGTAATTGATATGGATGCGAAAGTGGTACATTTTGGTTAGATTTTAACTTCTTCTTCTTCTTTTTTTTTTTTTCGTTATCTTGATTCGATTTTACATGTTGAATCCAACGGTTTATCATATTTGGTTCAATTTAGATCACTTCATCCTTTGCGACTTAAGAAATGAATTAAGTTGAATTTACTTATTTTAATTAAATATCTACCCACTAATAACAAATTATAAGGATCATAAATCCATCGAATTCTTATTTCTAAAAAAACTGAAACTTAAAATTATTTTATAAATTACTAATTAGACAGATTCAAATCTAGGCTCTTCTATAGACTTCTAGAGTCATAAATCAAATACAAAAAAGCCATTTGTACAGTCATTAGTGGACCGCACACTAATGTGAGTGGACTGTAAAATTTACAGCCTACTAATGACTGTACATGCAGCATGTTTCACTGTTGGAGTGATTAATCTACTTTTGAAGTGACCTATTTATAGTTTTAATCAACTCCAACAGTGTAAATGGGGTCGTTCCAGCGGTGTAAATGGGGTCGTGCCAGATTTTTATAAAACGACACTTCCAATTGTGGCATACATTACATGATTGCTCCTCAAGATTTTGAGTAAGGTTTTGTGCCTTTAGGCAATATGAGGTAGCTATTTGTGTTTGGTGGCCATGATAGAGACAAGCTAGACCCTTGATTTATGGTCATTTTTTAATATAACTAACAAATATCAACTGGTTTCTTATCCTTCATTGCCCCCACAACATTCAAGTGGTGTTGGCCTATGGACCCTCTTATCATCAAAACATTTTATTTCAAACAGGATGCTCCAACTACATGTTAGTAAGAAACTATACAAGAACAATTAGAGGTGGAAAAATATAGGCCATTCGACTTATAAGCACATGTACGATATGACTTTTTCCAGTTCTATTATATTTTGAGAGCGACTTTTATTTACAGTGCACTATCTTATAGCTGTTGAGAATTAGAAACCCTAATCATTTTCCATCAAAAGTAATAAAATTTCAGTGAGCAAAAAGACACAAAATAACATGTAACATTTATAGAGATTAATCTGATAAAAGTTTACATGAGAAAAATTTGCACACCTTATTTTCTTTGCTCTGTCTCTTTTTGATGGTAGATATCTAAAATTGCACGAACTTCCTGTAGCGGCTATAATTAAATTTCACAACTTAACAATACTTCGGTTGAAGTTATGTTAATGATTATGATACTTATTTAGTTAAGTTAATTTTTTGTTAATAAGATGTGTTAACTTATATTTTTCAGGAATATAATTTTGAGAATAACAAAACATGCTAATCCAAAAAAATGTGTTTGGCTTAACTTTTAAGCAATTTAAACTTATTTACAGATTTTTATTTTTTTTGGAAGTGTTGATATTTTACTTATTTTCTTACTTATTATAACTTACGAAATTTACTTATTTAAACAATAAGATAGGTGACACCATCAAAATGAAGAACAAAAGACTTGTGTACTTGAAAATTCACTTTGCTGCTTACAAGTAAACTTGCTTGTAAGTAAACTTGATTATTCTCAAATTAAAATGTTGCAAATTGACAGGTACCAAATGCTATAGGATTTGTACTTGGTACGTCCCAGCTAGTACTCTATGCAATTTATCGCAATCCTAAAGCATCAAAGAAAATAGCAGCAGATTTGGAGGATGGGCAGCAGAGAGAGCCCCTACTTTCTATTCCAGAAGAAAAATGATAAAAAAAAAAAAAACAAAAAGAGATTATATTATTTTATTAATTGATGGTTATTTCATTGTATAATATAATATTTAGTAGAGTCTCATGACACAAGGAGCCATGTGTCACTTGGAAAAAAGGCACAAGGGTTAACCAGTATGTACTCCTTCGCTTTTGTTTGCAAACTAACCTGTGCTAGCAAGAAGAAAAAAGGAAGGAATGGCGGGATGCTAAAGAGATGGCTATGGCTATAAGACTAGTGTAATAGATGTATTAAATTTTGTACAATAAGGTATATGATTTGAGTTTGAACATGTTTGGTTGTGCTTTAAAAACTTTTTACTACTTGGATGATTTGTTAATTTCTTACTTCTACGTAAAGTTAAATTGTGGAAAGTACTTTTAATTAAAGAAAATATTAGAAACATCCTTTAGCCGCGCTTATCATTCCCAAACTAATAGGCAAAATGGGTCGATATATTGGGTTGGTCAACCGTTCCCTCGGTGATTTGCTTCGTAGCTTTGCTGGTGATCATGTTAAGTCTTGAGATCAAAAACTTTTTCAAGCTGATTTTGCACACAACCATGTTGTCAATTGCGTAAGCATGACCCAAGTTTTCTCGTTTCCAGGTGGTCTATGTTATCAAGCCTCGTAGTCCAATTGATTCGCTCGCTTCACTAGATAAATCCCAAGTCCATGGTACCGCCGGACAAATCCTTTTGAAATCATTGAGAAAATTAATCCATGTTGTAATATATAACTCATATAGAGCAGAGCACAAGTGTATTGAAAAGGCAGGTCGATTACATCGTTTCACTTACCTTAGAAAAATTGTAATTTAATTGTTAAGGTAATTTGTGAAGTACTAAAAAGTTGTAAGCTTGTTGTTGCGTTTTTTATATCGTAAGTGTACGATATCGTAATAAGCAGTATAGTGGACCCTTAAATCCAGATATCGTTCCCACGAAAACTATACTTCATGACTTAATCAAATATAATTTTAACTCCTATTTGACAAAAACAAGTAAATAATTATGATGGTTGT